CGGGACCATCCAGGAAAGGAAGTTCCACATAATCGAAGGCGATATGAGGTACAATGCCCTTTTTGGAAGGCCATGGATCCACAACATGAGAGTTGTACCTTCGACCCTACACCAGGTTCTTAAATTCCCAACATCGAGGGGGTTATAACAGTGTACAGAGAGTAACCGGCCGCAAGAGAAATGTTTGTCGTTGAGGAAGCGAATCCGATATCCTCACCTTCGCCAATAAAGGGATCGAGCTCAAAATGGGAACAAGATGCCAAATAGCAATCACAGACACCAGATTTAACCCAACCAGAAAATCAGAAGATCGATGAAGATGATGATCATAGGATTCCCCGATCCTTCGTGCTTCTCGATGATTCCGACGCTACACAATCAACGATTGAAGAATTGGAGCAAGTCATATTAATCGAGCGTTTGCCCGAACGAAAGGTATACCTTGGAACGGGATTAACCCCCGAACTCAGGAACCGACTTATTCAATTTCTTATCGATAACATGGATTATTTTGCTTGGTCCCATTTAGATATAATAGGAATCCCACCGGATATAACGACACATCGATTAAGCTTGGACCCTAGGTTCAGGCCGGTGAAGCAAAAGAGAAGACCTCAGTCTGAGGTAAAGCACGCATTCATAAAGGACGAGGTGACCAAACTTCTCAAAATAGGGTCCATTCGGGAGGTGAAATATCCTGAATGGTTAGCCAATGTAGTTGCAGTGCCTAAAAAAGGAACAAACTTAGAATGTGTGTAGATTATAAGGATTTGAACAAATCATGCCCCAAAGATTCTTTTCCGCTGCCCAACATCGATCGCATGATCGATGCTACGGCCGACTACGAGATCCTTACTTTTCTCAATGCCTATTCCGGGTATAATCAAATCCAAATGAACCCGAAAAACCAGGAAAAGACTTCATTTGTCACCAAGTATGGAACATATTGTTATAATGTGATGTCCTTTGGGATAAAAAATACAGGAGCTACTTACCAACGCCTAGTAAATAAAATGTTCGAGGAATAAATAGGTAAGTCAATGGAAGTTTATATTGATGACATGCTAGTTAAGTCCCTGCGCGCAGAGGACCATTTGATCCATTTGCAGGAAACATTCAAGATTTTAAGGAAATACAACATGAAGCTCAACCCCGAGAAGTGTGCTTTCGGGGTCGGTTCGGGCAAGTTCCTCGGTTTCATGATGTCAAATCGGGGGATCGAGATTAACCCCGATAAAATCAAGGCCATCGAAGACATCACCATCGTGGACAACGTAAAAGCCGTACAGAGGCTAACGGGATGGATTGCAGCCTTAGGCCGATTCATTTCAAGGTCGTCAGATCGAAGTCACCATTTTTTCTCTCTACTCAAAAAGAAGAACGATTTCGCTTGGACCCTGGAATGCTAACAGCCATTAGAGGAATTAAAACGATATCTATCGAGCAAGCCACTGCTTCATACTCCAAAAACAGACGAAAATCTTTGCTTATACTTGACAGTATCGGAAATTGCGGTAAGCGGTGTCCTAGTTCGAGAAGAGCAAGGTACGCAATTTCCCATTTATTATATAAGCCGAACCTTAGAGAAGCAGAAACTAGATATCCACACCTAAAAAAATTAGCACTTGCACTGATAAGCGCCTCTAGAAAGTTAAGACCTTACTTTCAATGTCATCCCATATGCGTATTAACCACTTACCCGCTTTGTAATATTTTGCACAAGCCCGAACTATCAGGCCGATTGGCCAAATGGGCAGTCGAACTCAGCAGGTACGACATCGAGTATCAATCCCGTGCGGCCATCAAGTCTCAAATTTTAGCAGACTTCGTGGACGATTTCATGCCGACCCTCGTACCCGAAGTCGAAAAAGAATTCTTATTAAAGTCGGGTACGTCATCGGGGGTATGGACCCTTTTTACAGACTGGGCTTCGAACGTGAAGGGGTCCGGGCTAGGCATCATTTTAAAGCCACCCATGGGTAACACTATTAGGCAATCTATCAAAACTACTAGGTTGACTAACAACGAGGCCGAGTATGAGGCCATGATTGCAGGTCTCGAGCTAGCTAAAAGCTTGGGAGCAGAAGTCATTGAAGCCAAGTGTGACTCTTTGCTGGTAGTAAATCAAGTAAACAACACCTTCGAAGTTCGAGAAGATAGAATGCAAAAGTATTTGGACAAACTGCAGGTCACTTTGCACCATTTCAAAGAATGGACTTTACAGCATGTTCCACGAGAGCAGAATAGTGAGGCTGATGCACTTGTAAATTTAGGATCATCGGTCGATGAAGGCGAAATAAGCTCGGGGACTATCGTTAAACTCTCGAGATCCGTGATCGAAGAAGGTCATGCCGAAATAAATTCTACGAGCCTAACCTGGGATTGGAGGAATAAGTATATTGAATACTTAAAGAATGGAAAGCTCCCATCAGACCCTAAAAATTCGAGGGCCCTACGAACCAAAGCTGCTCGATTCACATTAACTGCAGATGGGGCGCTATATCGAAGGACATTCGATGGACCATTGGCAGTATGCTTAGGTCCAAGAGACACCAACTACATCCTACGGGAGGTGCACGAGGGCACTTGTGGAAATCACTCCAGTGCCGATTCATTAGTCCAAAAAATAATTAGGACAGGGTATTATTGGATCGATATGGGCAAAGATGCAAAGGAGTTTGTTCGAAAATGTGACAAATATCAAAGGTTTGCACCAATGATCCATCAGCCCGGAGAGTAACTTCACTCAGTCCTATCCCCATGGCCATTCATGAAATGGGGAATGGATATCGTCGGTCCTCTGCCATCAGCCCCAGGTAAAGCTAAGTTCATTTTATTTATGACTGACTCTTTCTCTAAATGGGTTGAAGCACAGGCATACGTGAAAGTAAGAGAGAAAAAGGCTATAGACTTTATCTGGGATCATATCTTATGTCGATTCGGGATACCCACCGAAATAGTGTATGACAATGGGAAACAGTTTGTCGGCAGCAAAGTGACAAAATTCTTCGAATACCACAAAATAAAAAGGATATTATCAACACCATATCACCCAGTAGGAACGGACAGGCCAAATCAACGAACAAAACTATCATTCAAAACCCAAAGAAGAGGCTGAACGACGCTAAAGGAAAATGGAGAGAAATTCTACCCGAAGTCCTTTGGGCATATCGAACAACATCAATATCTAGTACGGGGGCAACCCCATTCTCCTTAGTATATGGCTCCAAAGCCTTGATTCCAGTCGAAGTCGGGGAACCCAGTGCCAGGTTTTGATATACAACGGAAGAGTCAAATAATGAGGCTATGAACACTAGCCTCGAATTATCGGATGAAAAATGAGAAGTTGCTCTCGTCTAATTGGCCACCCAAAAGAAGCGAATCAAAAGATACTATAATCGAAGAACCAAGCTTCGCCATTTTAAACTCGGGGACTTAGTGTTAAGTAAAGTCACCCTCAGTACCCGAAATCCAAACGAAGGAAAACTAGGATCGAACTGGGAAAGACCGTATCAGGTTCTCGAAAACGTCGAAAAAGGATCATACAAGCTCTGTATTATAAACGGCAAACAACCATCAAGCAATTGGAATGTGTCACACCTAAAACGATACTACTGCTAAGGTACGACCCTCCCATATTCATTTAAATTTCGAAACTAACCCCTACAGGAGTCTGATCAGGAGCTAGGATGGATCCTTCAATACGAAGCCCTAGATTTGGAAGCATGCGTTGCACTCTTTTTCCCTTAGACCGGTTTTATTCCAAATGAATTTTTCGGCAAGGTTTTTAATAAGGTAACCAATGATCGTGCTAAACTTAGAAACAATTTGACAGTATCCGAGGCATCTTTACAATCGACCTCGAATACTGGGGGGGCATTAGCCCTCAAATATATCAAGTTCTGATGCAAGACAGTTATTTTGTAACAACAGGGTTCCAATAGGAAAAGTTGTAAGAGCCAAATGGTCAAAACGAACCATGCTCATGTAGTTGGCCCGAGCCCTGACGCAAAACATGAACAAATGTATAATGACTTGCAAAGAAAGTTATCTTCTTTACCGATATCTTATATCCAAGAAAAAAATCCTCTATTTAGAGATTTATTATGCAAACAGGATTGAGATAAATCTCCGAGTCCGAGCAAGCACTCACTCGACCATTACTCCTACGGGCTACATTACTTCGAGTTCGAAATCACTCATTCAACTATTAAGCCAAAAGGCTACATTACTTCGAGTTCGAAATCACTCACTTGACTATTAAGCCTACGGGCTACATTACTTCGAGTTCGAATCACTCACTCGACTATTAAGCCTACGGGCTACATTACTTCGAGTTCGAAATCACTCACTCTACTATTAAGCCTACGGGCTACATTACTTCGAGTTTGAAATCACTCACTTGACTTTAAGCCTACAGGCTACATTACTTCAAGTTCGAATCACTCTCTCGACTATTAAGCCTACGGGCTACATTACTTCGAATTCAAATCACTCACTCGACTATTAAGCCTACAGGCTACTTACTTCGAGTTCGAATCACTCACTCGACTATTAAGCCTACAGGCTACTTACTTCGAGTTCGAATCACTCACTCGACTATTAAGCTTACGGGCTACATTACTTCGAGTTCGAGTCACTCACTCGACTATTAAGCCTATGGGCTACATTACTTCGAGTTCGAAATCACTCATTCGACTATTAAGCCTACGGGCTACATTACTTCGAGTTCGAAATCACTCACTCGACTATTAAGCCTACGGGCTACATTACTTCGAGTTCGAATCACTCACTCGGCTATTAAGCCTACATGCTACATTACTTCGAGTTCGAATTACTCACTCGACTAAATTTCCTAAAGCCTTACGAAAACCTTCATAAGGCAGAAAATAAAGGCAAGTAGTTAAAGGAAAAAATATTTATATATACATACAAGATTGTTTACAAGATTAGTTACAACATACAAAATGGAAACTAAGGGCTAAGTTTCTTGGTTATCTCTAAGGGCTAAGTTTTTTGGTTATCTCCGGGACAGTCTCTTCTCCATCGGGCTCCTCCCCACTCTGAGACCCGCTCTTGTTCCCGTCATCGTCATCGTCATCATCATCATCGTCATCATCATCATCGGAGGCCAAGGCCCCAGCATCAGCTTCAAGCTCTTTTGCCTTTATTATCTCTTCAGTAAGATCGAAGCCTTGAGCATGGATCTCCTCGAGGGTCTCCCTCCGAGATTGGCACTTGGCAAATTCGACTATCCAATGTGCTCGAGTTCGAGCGGTCTCAGCTACTTCTCTCATATGCGACTGAGCAGCCTTAACATCGGCTCGATAAACAGCCACAAATGCATCTGCATTGGCCTTTGTCTTTTCAGCATTGGCAAGTTCAGAAGCCAACCGAGCCTCAAGCTCCTATATTTTCCTTGCTTGAACCGAGCTTTTTTCCTTCAGACTTTGAAGTTGATTTTCGACCAATGATAATTGGGTTCGAGCAGCCTCTTTCTCTGCGGCAAAGCAGTCCATATTTCCTTTCCATTTCAAGAACTCCATCTTTATCACATTGACCTCCTCACGGAGCTTCCCAATCATCTCAAGCTTCTACTGCAGCTGTGAGACCGAAAGATTAGCCATCGTTCCAGTATCGAATCCATAGGCTCTTAATAGTGTCATTACCTGCTCGGACAGATCGGTATGATCTTGGTGAGCTTTGGCCAACTCAGCTCGGAGGTCCTTGATTTCTTTTCCCCTGCCCTAAGAAGAGTTTAAGGGCCTTCCTCTCCTCTGTGGCTCGTTGGAGATCGGCCTCATATCGACGCAGCTCAGCTCGAGATCGAAAACATGCTTCTCGATGAGCTACCACGGCCTACGAAGAAAGAAGAAACAAAGTAAGAAAGGAAAAACAGACAAGAGATAATACCAACAAAATAATTCAAGGATTACCTGATTCAAAGCCTACTGCACTCCGTGAAAAAGATCTGATGCATCACTAGTACCGGCAGCATCCTCGACACTGGTAAACAGATCACGAAAAGGATCCTCTCCATCATGAGGCCCGTCTAGTTCAAGGGCCCCCAAAGCTTGGGCTTCCCGAATTGCCCCTTCAGAAAAAGCAAGGAAGGTGGGCGAGTCTTCGATTGCTACTGCCCCAAGTGAGTCACTTGGGGCATTCTCTTCAGTTCGAAGAGATTAGGGGAGAGCCCTTTCAGACGTATCCCCCATCCGGTGGCTTCAATGGGAAGCATCCTCGATCTCCAAAAACTCGGGGACTCTACCCGAATCTTTATCCGATATATCCTCAGTTCGAAGCGGAGCCTTATAAACCACCATCGATCCAGCTGCCTGTGAAGCGTCGGTGGTCTTCTTCGATCGGGCCACCAGTACGGACCCGTCGTCTTCCTCTTCCTCATCTTCATCCCTTAGACGCTGAACTAATTCTAAGGTCAAAGAGATGGTATTCTTCCTCGACTTACGAGTCGACCTTGGCTTCTATTTTGGATTTTCGAAAGTAGAGGCCCTTTTCCTCTTATTTCCCTCCCCAGGTTTAGAAACCGGGTCCGAGGCTTCTTCCTCACCGGGCAGGGACCTCAAAACCGAATCTCTGCCCAGGCCTAAACACAAGAAGATCCGTTGAATATGCGAAAAATATTTCGTTCGAACTCTCAAGACATAAGAAATAAGCTTACCATGATTTTTGGCCTCCCATTGGCCCTTTTCCAAATCACGCCACGAATGTTCGACGTATGTAGAGGTCGAAGCCAGGGCCTGTACCCAGATCTTAAGATCGGGAATGGCACCGGGCATCCAAGGAACCGCTGCATCACAAAAGAGATATCAGTAAGAAAGAAACAAAGAGACAAGGCGATAGGGAATAAGCAGCAGAATCACACTTACGCTTCATATTCCATTATTCAGGGAATGTCATCTTTTCAACGGGGATTAGGTCCGAAGTCCTCACTCGAACGAACCTGCCCATCCAACCTCGATCTTTGTCCTCGTCTATGCTCGAGAACAGTACCTTGGTAGCCCAGCGTTGAAGTTTTATTAATCCATCCCAAAAGATGCGGGGACTATACAATCTAATAAGATAATCGAGGGTGAAAGGCATCCCCTCGATCTTGTTTGCAAATAAACGGATGAGGATAACGATCCGCTAAAATGAAGGATGAATCTGACCTAGAGTTATTCGGTATTGACGACAAAAATCGATGATAACCGGGTCGAGAGGTCCTAACGTAATAGGGTAAGTATACACACTAAGGAACCCTTTCACGTGGGTGGTAATATCTTCATCGGAAGCCGGAATTACCAATTCTTTATTATCCCAATTGTAATCTGTCTTTAACTGAGCAAGTTGCTTTTTAGTTATCGAGCACAAATACCTCGATACCGGCTCACCCCAACCGGGAACCAACGAGCCCTTATCGACCTTAAAATCGGAGGTGAGAAGGCATGCTCCAGGAGCAAACTCCTCAGGCCGTGGCTCCACCGATGTTTTATCGGCGGCAGGATGTGAAGAAGAAGTCTCTTCTTTTTGAGGGACGACTTTTGATGTTTTCACCATATTTTTGAATTTAGAAGAAAGAAATAAAGAAGATGTGGTGTTTCAGAGAAATATTTTGCGGTAAAAATCACAGAAGGTAAATTTCGCACTTAATTCAGAAGGTATGAGAAAATGCTTAGGAAAATTTGAGATTAGAAGATGTAAAAGTGATTAATGGTGAAAGAAGGGGATATTTATAGGCTGAGAAGTGGCGGTCCAATAACGGTAATGACCGACCACGTCTGACATGCATTAAATATCTCGAAAAACTGAACCGATGGGACAGATATCGTGTACATCACAATCAGATTCGATGCACACGTTAATATATCTTTGATCGAGCCATCGTTAAATCATGTCGTTTCTCGCTATATCGTTCCCGAGAAACGAGGGGACTATCTGTATACGGTAAAAACTGATTAGTCTTTCGTACGAACTGGTCGAGATGGTAATGCATTGGATCGGAGAAGCATCTTCATAATCAGGTTGAGATCCGGAGTCAGGTCACCAAGTTTCGAGCCCTAAGGACCGATCAATGTCGAGCTCGATATCATTATCGAGCTCAAGTCCAAATTGAACTATGATGCAAAGTGAAGTTATCGAGCTTACGAGGCAGAGACCGACCAACACTGACCCCGAATCAATACAAGGACCCGAGCCAGAATCGAGCTCGAAGTCAAGATCGAGAGCTCAGGTCAAGATCGAGAGCTCGAGTCAAGATCGAGTTTATAGACAAGAGTCGTTGCAATCCTACTAGAGGAGAGAATCCTGGCAGGAATTATGAAAAATTTGATTTATTATGGGTATCCACTATGTATATTTAATTATATCTAAAGTGGAATCCCTCCACTATAAAAGGGTATAGTTATTATGTCTGTAAGGACAAGTTTTTTGGCATACTTGGTAACTGAGATATCACACATTTCATATTGAAGAACTATCTTTTCTAGCTTCATATCTTTCATCCTCACAGTCAAATATTAGATATTCTTATTTATCCATATGATTTGTGTTGAGTTATACCACATATCCTTAGAACTACGTACAAATTTAACTCTATCTATTTTTCGGGTAAACAACTATATTTGTTGTTGTTATTAGCATACGTGTGTCCAGAGGCGGACCCAGGATTTGAGCAGGATAGGGGCACCATTGTCTTAAACATGTCAATTACTAGTGATAAAGTTCGGCGCAACTCTATGAAAACATATATGATAACTTATCAGCAAAATACAAACTTTAATATTATCGAATATCATCAATGTGATACTAATATAACAAAAGTACATCATTTGTTCATACTTGAACTCGACGCGCTTTTATATTTTGAAAACGGTCAATAATAGCATCATTACTTACATTTGTAAATACTTCCTTCTCAAAGTAACAAACTAAATAATTATTTAAAAATGTATCACTAATACTACTACGTAATTCATCTTTGATGTACTTCATGGATGAAAATGCTCTTTCCACCGTTGCAGTCGCGACAGGTAAAATTAGAGTTAACTTTACAAGTAAATAAATAAGTGAATAACTCTCTGCAGGATTTACCTCAACCAAGGCTTTTGCCAAATCACCAATTCCTTTCAAATCAGAAAACCTAAGGTCACCACGTCGCATGTGCAATATGAAAGTGTCAAGTTGGTGACTAAGATCTCGAAGCTTCAATTCGCCAAACTCATCTGGATAATACTTGGCCAATGTCATTATTTTTTCCTTATCAAAATTAGTAAATGAATTAACCGGATTCAAGCTAGCCATACCAAGAAGCAAGTTACCACTCACAACATCAAAATGACTGTTAAGCTCTTGAAGCTGCAAATCAATCACAGAATAAAAAAGATCAACACGTAAGTGATGTGAATACGTAACAGTAGAAGGTCTACGCTTTGACTTTCCAGGAATATAGAATTCTTCCATATTGGGTACCACAATATCATGTTTAGCACAAAATGAAGAGACTTCATCCATCAATGACACCCATCCATCTTCTCTCATTACTTGCAACCTTTCCTTTGTGAGGTCAAGAAATACCATGGCATTAACAATATCTTGCTCTTTTTTCTGCAAAGCTTTACTCAACACATTCGACATCATCAACACTTTCAATATCAAGTGAAGCAAGAAAACAAAGTTAAATGCATTGATTTTACTCAAAAACGCTTCTGCTTGTAATCTATCATCAGCCTCAGAACCTTCACATTCAACCACCTCAAGCACATGAACAATAGATGAAAATAAAATAACAAAGTTATCCGACGTTCTACAATGTGATCCCCAACGAGTGTCACCTAGCCTTTGAAGCCCTCGCTCTTGATTTAATCCTTTCCCACTTTGAAGTTCACCACTCTCTAGCAATTTCTCCAACAATTTTGCTTGATGATCACGAAGTTGATCTCTACGCTTAAAAGATGCTCCAACTATATTCAACACGTTAGCAATTATAGCAAAGAAAGTTTTCACCTCCTTATATTTTTTTAGCCACAACTACAAGTGTCAATTGTAATTGATGCGCAAAATAATAAATGCAATATGCTGATGGAGTTTGTTCTAAAATTAAAGCTTTAAGACCATTCACCTTTCCTTGCATGTTACTAGCTCCATCATATCCTTGTCCACGTATTTTGGATGGACTTAATGAGTGTTTCAATAGTAAAGAATATATTGCTTCATTCAATGACTTTGTAGATGTATCACCAACACGAATAAGACCAATAAATGGCTCATTCACTTGGTCTTTTTTGTCAACATACCGCAAAGCAAGGGCTATTTGTTCATGGTGTGAAATATTCTTGGACTCATCAACTAATATCCCAAAATAATCCCCTCCCAAGTCATCAATTATAGCTTTCACAGTTTCTTGTGCACAAGCACTAACAATATCCTTTTGAATTTTTGGTGAAGTCATCATATCATTTTTTGGAGCATGTTTTAATATAACTCTATCCACATCCGGAAGCCTCTTTGCAAGCCATTCCAATAGCCCTAGAAAAAGGCCTTTATTTTTGAAAGATTCACTTTCATCGTGACCTCGAAAAGACAATCCAAATTCCAAGAGGAACCTTGCAACATCAATTGAGGTATTTAAACGAATTCGGTGATCACTTCTTTATTTCTCGGATTGCTTGTTAAAATCAACTTGAATTGACTGAGATTGCTTAGACAAGTCTAGCATCTTATTGAAACACTTATGGTAGAGATTATTTACTTCACCAACATGTAAAGCAAGTCTTTCCGAAGCTTTATTCTAAGCCCTAAAGCCAGTTTTTGTGAAAGAGTCACCCGTGCTTCCATGGACATAATCATTCTTGAATAAATAGCAACATAAATAAAATGCCGCATCTTTCTTCACACTATACTCCAACTATCTAGAGTTTGAATCTTTAAACCAATCCGGACTAAATTGACGTATTTTTTTTCCGAATAAAGTTTTAGGGAATGTGTAATCAACCGGTTGGCAAGGCCCTTGTTTAATGTAGTATTTTCTCACTTCATCTCGTATTCTAAGGCTATATTTATCAATGGGTATTCTCTCTCCGGGGTCGGGATTTAGTGATTCCACATCAAATTCATTGACTAGACGGGAGGAATTCTCTCTAAAACTAGAACTTGGTTGAAAAGAATTAAACCTCGTCAAAAATACGTCCATCTCAAGTTACAAGAATAAGAACTTCCTACAAAACAATGATTCAATTCAATTTAAATGTCCATCAAGAATAAAAGTAAACTTTTAATAGTGAAATCACACCCCTTCTATCAAGAACAACACTAAGAAAATATAACAGGGGAATCACTCAATCACACCCCTTCTATCAAGAAAAAAGAAAACATAACATTTAAAATAGATAAATTACACCCTTTAAAATAGGAACACTTACCAATTTGTGAAATTTTTTATCCTTGAAGTGAAGAGGCTTTTAGTTCAGCAAAACATAATATAATTGATCTTGTCTTGTAATATGCAAACGGCAAACCCTGCAAAAATATTAAAGTTATACTACGACACTTTGTGAATAAAAAATTTTCCATATTCAAGTTATAATAAAGGCTTACTGCTTAGTATAGCTACTATGACAACAAGTATTAATTAAATTAAACAAGTTCGAAATTTCACTCTAGTCTATAAAAAAATGCCCTAATTCAAAGTTTTTGTTTGAAAAGAAACACTTCACTCAAAGAATATTTCAAAATAACAGTAGCACACAATATTCAAATGCCTACAAAATTAATTTGGCATTTACTTTTTGGCTCTAAGACTCTTTGTAGAAAGCAAATTTTTGATACCAAATTATTTTGCTAAGTTAATATTTTCTAAAGAAAACAAAACTTACTCAATAAAATCAAGATTTTACTTAAATAAATTCAAGATTTTACTCAAATAAACTTATTATTTCAGTTGAAGAAGAGCCTCAAACCCATTAGTCGTCGTCGATTCGGACTGCCGGTCACCGGATTCGAGCTCGACTGCTCGAGCAGAAGCTAAATAGGGTTAATTAAAAAAAGGGTTTTGGTTTTTAGCAGAAGGGTGTAGCGTTTTGTTTGGAGAAGAGAGGTGGGTTTTGTTCTTTAGTTTGAAAAAGCATAAAGGTTAAGACTTTAGGTAATAGGATTAATTGAAAATAGGGTTTTGTTTTTTAGGTGGAGCCGTCTGTTTGGAGAAGAAAGGTGGGTTTTGTTCTTTAGTTTGAAAAAAGATAAAAGTTAAGACTTTAAGGTGACTATTGTGTATTTGTGTGCAATAGTACAAGTATTAAAGAATTAAAAAAAAAGTAAAGACAGAAGAAGTGCAGAAGTAAATATACAATAAGTATGCTACAAAATTAACGAGTCTAACTTGCTTTTATTTATTTAGGGGGTCTGATAAATTATTTAAGGGGTCCCCAGTGTATATATAAATATATATAAAATATATTTATAGTATTTTTTCCGAGGCTAACGGGTTCCGGTGACCCCCTAACCCTATGGTAGGTCCGCCTCATCTGAATCCAGCAGACGTCATGTGTGAGTTTCAAATAAATCAATCAAAGTCTTAAACAAAATAAAACAAAATAAGATAAAGAGAAAGGAATAACCCCTATCCTATCCTTCCCAGGTGAAGCGTGGGATCATTTCTGTAGGACTTTACTAAAAAGTAAAAACAGAGTGGGTTTTGGTCCGATCTTCTTTATGTCTTTTCTTTTTTATTTAAAAATCCCAGAATTTTTTGAATAGTAGGTTGCATATAAAATTGCAACTTGCTTTAAAAAAATTTCCTTTCATTCTCCGCATTCATATCAACAACTTTCTTTTTAGGTCTTCTTAAAATTAGTTTTTCCAATAACTTTATTGCGTTTATAAGCGAGGAGCTATATTATGCGAGTGATCACAAAAATTTGAAATCTAGTAATAGTAGATCTAGTAGGCGCTTGGACAATATTTGGTTTGAGCTGAAAACGATATTTAACATTAAAGTTGAATGTGGTAGTGACCAGAGGTGAATTCAGAGGCGGATCCAGGATTTAAAATTTATGAGTTCATATATCGATCTTAAGTAAATATACAATAAGTAATTGGGTTCACAATCAAATATTTATGAATATTTAGTTAACTTTTTAATACATATACAGGGTATATGCAAAAGCTACTGGGTTCACGGGAACCCACGTATAATAGGGTGGATCCGCCCGTGGAGGTGATGGTTGCAACGACATTTGACACTAAGTGTCATCAAAATATGATATTTGATACAAAATGTCATAATAACAACGACATTAATGAAGAAATGTCGTCAAAATTACGACATTTGATACAAAATGTTATAAAAACAATGACTTTTGATACTAAATGTTGTTAAAAAAATGACATTTGATACTAAATATCGTAAAAACAACAATATTTATGAAGAAATATCGTAAAAACAATAACATTTATGAAGAAATGTCGTGAAAGCTACATCGATTGATACTAAATGTTGCAAAAAAGTAACAATTGATATAAGATGTCGATTAATGTCTTAAAAGTTTTTCTGGGACTCGTCTATGACTCACTCCTGGGCGAGGCACATGTTGCGATGGCTCATGTGTGAGGTTTACGCCCCAAATGTCTAATTGTGCATCCTGAACACGCATATCTTCAGTGTTCGGGAGTTACTACATAAATCATATGTTAAATTTTCTAATTTGTAATATTGACCCTCAAAATAATTTAACAAATGAATGATAAAAGTTCAATTCATATATATAAATATGAAGATTGAGATTACATAAGATATCGAGTCATAATATTGCATATTTACTATTTGAGTGAGAACATCGTGAAGGTGAATATCATTTGAATATTTCTTTTGAAAATGAATAGCAGAAATTTATATCTTCACTTGCTATTGCTCTTTATTTCCTAGCTTTATGTCTTCCAAAATTATGAGACCTATTCTTTTACTACAATTGTACTTATTTATGAAGGAGTAATATTTTAAATTATAGTACTTATAAAGTTTATTGATTATTTACTTTTTGAGAGGTAATTAAATTTGTAGTTTGCTAATATTTTAATTATTTGAAAGTTCAAACGTTATAGCTGATTTATAATAATAAACTTAACACTATTGTGTTATTTATACTAATAAAAGAATTCCAGATATTTTATTTTTCTATGAGTTTCTTTAATCTTTTTTAATTTTATTAAATTTTTAATGTACTTTCGATATTGTTTTATTATGTTATTTTTATAATTTATTAAAAAAGTTTAAAGATTCCCGTATTAAGTGATACGTTAATCCTTTCTAAAAAATGTTGCCGATTTAAAAAATTTTGACTAAAATTTCAATGTTCCATAAAAAAATATTTTTGCTATTACTTACTAGATGTTGAATTTAAAAGATAAAAATACAAAATTAAATTATAGTAGGAGCAAGGCACCTAAATTTATAATTGACCACAATTGCCAACTAAAGGCCCAAAGATTAGCCGTGATACTCCTAGGGCTCCTTTGTTAGAAGCACCTCAAGACCCTAAGATACAGGGATTTCTCAATTAGGCCGTGATACTTTTTCCTCTCTTTTCTTTGCCTTATTTTCTTTCTTTCCTCTTTTCAGTTGCTGCTATTATACTCATTATACAATATGTTTGTTTTTTAGAATCCCAATATGTTGTTTTGGTATCCCAATTTGTTATAATCGAAGAGGAAAGGATTCCTTTTATTATATAGTTATATTTTTTTTCTGTATGACTTCTTGTGCAGCATTTTTGAAGGCGAATTACTGGCAATGAAAAGCTTGACTCTTGTAGAGCAGATTTCAAAAAGCTTTGTTGCAGGATTTAGTCTAGAAGTTATAGGGAATTCATTTGAAAGTAATAATACTATAGTTACATGTTGATCTTTTATGATTTAGTCGGATTTGAGTTTTACTTGAGAACAAATCATTTGATTTGGCATCATCTATTTGTATAGAGTACTTTTTAGATTGCTACTTTGTTATTTAGTTATAGTATTAAAAGGCATTTGTTTTACGTATATTTCATGTTAGTTGAAGGCTGACATTTGTGGATGTACTAATTGAATGTAAAGTGTTATGATAAAACTAAATGGAGGATTATTATTAATATTTTAAAAATTTTGGTACCGACATTAATTTGAATGTTGGAATTCTTAATACGACATTTTTAAAAGTTGTGAAAAAGTCACTAATCGTATTTGACACTCATGTAAATGTAAATACGACATTTTCGTATATGTCATAAATTTTCTTACTAACATTAAAAGTAAATATCGTAAATTTCTTATTGACATTTAACCTAAACATCGTAAAATAAATGTCGTAAATTTCTTATCGACATTTACTTAAATGTCTTAAAATACATGTCGTAAAATTCTTACCGACATTTACCTAACATTTGATGCATATGTAAAATAAATATCGATAAATGAATA